ATAACCATTCCACTCAATTAACTATGGTTTCACAGTGTTGTTATTTTGTCGATACAAACCTATTGCTTTTTTGCCTTTCTCGTTGACTCGGTCGCCGTCGTCGTTGCTTCAGCTCCTTTTTAATGACTATGATTAACCTAACATTTCCAGTTCAGAAGCTGTCAATCAAGAAGCTAGTGCAACAATGCTTTGAATCACCTGCAAGCGCTTGTTATGCTCTAACTTACATATAACTATGCTTGATTGACTTTAAAACAAGTACTTATGCTAATTTTGTAAATACTATACAGTGTTTTCACGGTACGTGGCTAGCAGCTATGCTGATTCACTGCGACAAAAGAAAGCGTTTATTTTAGAAAAGAGTTACACTCCCACAGGATTGTCTTGGTTCACCAACACAGGGCCTAGGGGCAGTTTCATTGTTTTGGAATTCCAATATGGCCGCCTTGACGTCACGTGAAATGCTCACTCCGACTTTTGTTGTTTTGTTGTGCCATGGACGGTGACGGTTGTATACTTCGTAGGCCCTGTGTTAGTCACACTTTTGCAGGAAAATTAGCAAAGGAGTTCTACAGCTTTGAAAAAATAGCCGAGATAAAGGAGTTGGATAGTTTCTGCGATAGGAATTTCTACATTCGAGGGAAGCAGAAGGCGAAAACAGAACCACACTTAATTAAAGCTGATCAATCACTTACGGTCTTGGACGACAGGGAATACGTGCTTAAAATATTGAATTCGGATGACAGCAAACACGGAGATTTAGTTGATGCTGAAAATGAAGCAATGAGATATTTAAGAAGCAGAGATTTCCCTTGTGCTTTAGTTTACCCGGTTACTGGGAGCTCAGGAACGAAATTATATGCTCGAGTTCCATTGCCACGTGATCTAGATGACGAAAAGACAGAGGAGTGTATCGTTCGACTGGTTTCCTTCCTTCCTGGAGAAACAGCTGAAAGTATGGGGAGGATAAGCCAAGAAAACTTACTCTGCATAGGCCAGTTTGTTGGGCGGTTAAGTAGGGCTTTTCAGGTAAAATGCTGTGATTATTGTAGTCCTCACAACAGCTACGATATATGCTAATTACGCTCGAGGTAATAGGGATGACTTCATTCTGCTGCAGCCGCCAGTTTATAGGTAACCAGCAATCAGGCGTTCTTTTTTCGGGGATAGCGCCGAAAGTCGGTGGCAAATTTGCGAAAAGGGAAGAAGGATCACCTGACCTGGTCGCAGGTTAGTTCTTAGGCAAATTTGCAACTTTTAAACACAGGGCTAGGTCCCGGTCTCTCTCCTCCGCAGAGGCCTATTTGTGTCGTAGAGAGGCTGGGGAGAAGGAGAAAAAAAAACGCCCGGCGGCCCATCGACCCCCACGCGCTTACTACGCTATGGAGTGTTTTCGCATGACGTCACGGCGGCCATATTGGTGTCCCAAAATAATGAAACGTCGGCCATGTTGGTGTCCCAAACCAATCCTGTGGGAGTTGAACTCTTCTCTTATTCAAACGCTTTCTTTTGTTCCAATAAATTTGGCTAGATGCTAGCCACGTGAGTGAAAACGCTCTATTTTTATTGGGATACCCAGCAGATCCTCTGCGGAGCCGGTAGACTGTTACTCGCAAGCAGTGCGAATTTGATTATGCACCTCTCCCGACTTCTTTCGCCTTCACCCTCATATTACGGAGTTTAGCATCGACGACGGCTATGACAGCGAAATCGTCACTTTTAAAATGACTTAGCGTTTTTCAAACTTTATCGCGTTAATTCCAATTCACTGAAAATGTCTAATGTAGGTAAATTTCCCTAGAGTTGATTTCTTGGGGACCCACTCAAGTTTAGAAAGAGAAACAAAATTTCCCTGTCGCTTGTTTACGTCCCCCATAGAACGTGAAATTAGGCATTTTCACGTCGTATTCGTGGAGCAACGGCAAAGAAATGTACTGAAAAAGCGTGATGCACGTGTAAACTTGATGTTTTGTTTAATAAACCTATTTGCTGTTTTGACGTTCTCGTAGCCGTTGCCGTCGTCGTTGTTAAAACTCCCAATTAAAGAAAACAATGTACTCAACTACAGTCAAACCTGTGTACAACTAGTCTCCCTCACAGCCGTTTTTTGGATGTCACGCAACGCTCCCCCAAAAGAGCGGGAGGGGGAGGGTTGCGTGAGTGTTTGGGACATGCCAAGGTGACCGTTATGTACTTTGCAGAAAATATAAGGCAACTGAAAATTTTGGGAAGTTGTCCGGTGACCGTAATACACAGGGTGACCGCTATATACAGGTCAGCTTTGCAGAAAAGTAAGGCAACTGAAAATTTTGGGAAGTTGTCCGGTGACCGTAATATACAGGGTGACCGCCATATACAGGTCAGCTTTGCACAAAATATATAAGGCAACTGAAAATTTTGGAAAGTTGTCCGGTGATCGTAATATACAGGGCCGTTATTTACAGGTTGGCTGTATCTCAGATAGACCGTTGTCAGGCTCGTCTACTCAAGACTGTTTTCAGCAATGACTCTTATTTCTTCTGTTTTATTTACAGGGCTTTGAATCTCCCGTGTTGACACAGAAGTTCGACAGGTGGAGCTTGGAGAATTTTCTTTCTCTTGAGGAATACATCACCTTTGTCAACGACAGAGAGATCCAAAGCATTATTCACAGAGTAATGGGAATTTTTAAAACTCAAGTGATTCCAAAGCTTTCACATCTTCGTCGTGGAATAATACACAACGATGTCACTACGGCAAATCTTCTTGTCGACACGACCCAAGGTAGTCTTAAAATCTCAGGGCTGATTGATTTTGGTGACATACGCCATTCGTGTGTGGTGTTTGAGTTNTGTCGCTTGTTTACGTCCCCCATAGAACGTGAAATTAGGCATTTTCACGTCGTATTCGTGGAGCAACGGCAAAGAAATGTACTGAAAAAGCGTGATGCACGTGTAAACTTGATGTTTTGTTTAATAAACCTATTTGCTGTTTTGACGTTCTCGTAGCCGTTGCCGTCGTCGTTGTTAAAACTCCCAATTAAAGAAAACAATGTACTCAACTACAGTCAAACCTGTGTACAACTAGTCTCCCTCACAGCCGTTTTTTGGATGTCACGCAACGCTCCCCCAAAAGAGCGGGAGGGGGAGGGTTGCGTGAGTGTTTGGGACATGCCAAGGTGACCGTTATGTACTTTGCAGAAAATATAAGGCAACTGAAAATTTTGGGAAGTTGTCCGGTGACCGTAATACACAGGGTGACCGCTATATACAGGTCAGCTTTGCAGAAAAGTAAGGCAACTGAAAATTTTGGGAAGTTGTCCGGTGACCGTAATATACAGGGTGACCGCCATATACAGGTCAGCTTTGCACAAAATATATAAGGCAACTGAAAATTTTGGAAAGTTGTCCGGTGATCGTAATATACAGGGCCGTTATTTACAGGTTGGCTGTATCTCAGATAGACCGTTGTCAGGCTCGTCTACTCAAGACTGTTTTCAGCAATGACTCTTATTTCTTCTGTTTTATTTACAGGGCTTTGAATCTCCCGTGTTGACACAGAAGTTCGACAGGTGGAGCTTGGAGAATTTTCTTTCTCTTGAGGAATACATCACCTTTGTCAACGACAGAGAGATCCAAAGCATTATTCACAGAGTAATGGGAATTTTTAAAACTCAAGTGATTCCAAAGCTTTCACATCTTCGTCGTGGAATAATACACAACGATGTCACTACGGCAAATCTTCTTGTCGACACGACCCAAGGTAGTCTTAAAATCTCAGGGCTGATTGATTTTGGTGACATACGCCATTCGTGTGTGGTGTTTGAGTTAGCGAACGCCTTAGCATCATTCATTAACGAAGACCAGATGTTAGTGGACAGTGGTTATCTTGTGGCTGGTTACCAGGCTGCTTGTCCCATTCCCGGTCTGGAGTTCGATCTCTTGTACGATGTGGTTTTGGCCCGTTTGTGTCAAGTTGTTATCATCACTAATAAAGAACAAATGAAACATCCAGACAACAGATACCTTAATCATACTTTAGAAAAATACTCTGCTAATCTCACAGCTTGGTTTAAGAATTCTAAGGAAGAAGTCTTGAAATGTTGGAGGAAAATTGGGCTAAAATATTTGCTGGCCTCCAGTAGGAATCATAGGGATTAAGGTAATTTTCAATCTTGGTCCTAATATTATCACCTCTCAATGTTTAGATGAAAAATAAAAACCAGGGGCACCCAACGACTGTTTTCTGTAAAATATCTGTTCGGAGAAGCGATTATCGCCTAGAATTTTTCTTTCCCTTGAGGATGGCTAAAAATTTCTAGATAACCTTTCCATTCATGTACAATTTTCTAAGCTTATCGAATTTATTCCCAACGATTTTTTGAAGTCTAATTTTCACATTTCACTTCCCAACTTTGGCCATTTTTCGTAGAAAAAAGGAAACCTAAAATTTGCGGATTCAAAAATTCAAGGATGGAGAGAAGAATCAGAAAATGTCTCATTTTCGTCAAATTGCGTCGTAAATTTAGGGGAAAAGGACACTCAAGCCGTCACAATTTCAGAAAGACTCAAGTTCCCCTAGGATGACCGAAGAGATACAAATTTTACAGCGCTACTTGGAATGTATTTCATGTATTTCTAAACTACAGTGAATAGCCTAAAAAGTGTCTTCATCAATGTGTTAGGAAGAAGCTGTCGTTGGGTGTCCCTGAAAAACCAATATGTTAAAGAAAACATTTATCTGGTAACACAGTCAATAAGGATAAATAAGGAAAGAAAACGGGTGAAGGTCTTGCTCAAAAAAAGTATGACTGCCTTGTGGAACTCGTGAACGGTTTCTTTCAAATTATTCCACAAAATAACAAAATAATTTAGCCTGAGGATTGATAACGGATTGCTCTAAAAATCAAACCAAATAAATTTATGCCTACTGCTAGCCGGACTACAAAAAGCCTCTCCTACTGATACAAGACTTTCAGTTCTACAATAACTCAAATCAATTTATCTTCTGGAGAAAAAAAACTTGGAGAATGAAAGTAAATTGGAAAAATTAGCGTAACGTCGAAACAGTTAATTTTTCAACTCGGGTCTGTCAGTGGCGACTTTTCACTGAGCGATAGGACAAGGATAACTGAATCGGCGCATGGAAATATCGGTATGGTCTCCGAAAAACTTTATCGAAACACCTTAAGTCAAACCGCCCGCATAATTTAAAAAAATTGATATCATCTTGTTTCTATTTGTAAATATATTTTTTTGTGTTGATCTGTTTAAAAACACTTTCATATCTCATTTAGAAAATTGTTGACTAAAATGCCTCTTAAAGAGTACCCAGGTCCGTGACACAAATAAAGAAAGGATTGTATGCCTGTGATTAGACTGTTATTTATGTGAACTCAGTCTGGTAAACTACCCTGAGTGGTAGGCGTTCGATAGGGAGGGGGAGGGGTTTGGAGCACGTTGTGACATTCACTCCCCCTCAGGCTCCCCCTTCGAACACCTGTAACGTAGCGATCTGGTGAACCCAGGCGCGGATCCACAGCGGTTTCAAGCGGTCAGATTTTTCATAATAAATGATTATTGTTTTGCCATGAAAGATGTACAAAAAAAAAGAAAATCAAAACTAAAAAGTATTTAAAGAGCTAATTGCTTGGAAGCTTAAGGGAAGTCATCGGGCTGATAAGGACTCAGAAACCCAGGTAAGGGGACTTTAGAGAGGAAAAATACAAAAACTTTCCCGAGGGGGAGGATGCCCCCAGACCCCCTTAAGGTGATGTTACACGAGACAATTCGCAACGACGATTCACATTAGTGTCACATTGTTGCGACATTGTTTCGGATGGTTACAACAGTTGCTCTAGCATTGCAACGCTGTGTTGCGCTAATCGTCGTTGCGAGTCGTCCAGTGTAACATGACCTTTAGAAGCTTGTGCCTTCGGCGCTCATTAAGGAAATCGGTCAGTGTTTATCCTACAGTCCGTGCCCAAACCTGCCTCTTTTCAAGTTTGTTTTGATCTGAAATTTATTCATAGGTCCCTGGTTTTGCATTTTTGGATTAAGGACAAGTAAATATGTCCGTTTTTTCTTTTTGTTTTGGTTTGTTTGTTTGTTTTGTTTTGTGTTGTCTTGTTTTGTTTTTTTTCAGGTTTTCATGCCTTCCACTCTCACAACCTCGTAAAGAAGAGAGATAGCCCTTAAAGACTAGTAACGAGATAGACAGATACGGGGCTGAGCTAATGATCTGTAAATACTGAATATTGAAATTGATAATTTGGAATAACTCCAAAAACATGCAGGAGGTTTCCTTGACTTCACTCAACGATTGGCGATCATTTTAGGCATTGCCAATAGTCCAGTAATCTCAAGTAACTCACTCGATCTAGCGACAGGCAATATCCGTACATTGATTTCGATTCCCCGGAATATATTCATGTTTTTGACTCAAATCAATTAAATCCACGTCTACAAATGAATAAAAAATTCGTATTATTAAATCTAGACTTGGAACTCTGAGTAATGAAGCTTAATGATATAGTCGACAATCAGTATGTAAAGACTCGGTGGATGGAAATTGATTTTTGCAATGGTGGGTGTCGAAATTACGAGAGCTTTTAACATGTTTAAAATTATAGTCTGATCATCGTTTTATTCTTAATTCTTTCTTTTCATTTGTGGTTCTCGCGGAGCTTAGAAAACGGTTCAAACAGTTTGAACTTGTCATGACTTGTTGAGTTTGAGCGTTTTCTGCGCGGGTCATTTTGACGCCATCTGGCTTGTGAATTGTTAAGACGAGATACTCGTCCTTACAATTATTACTCATCCTTTAGAGAGCGATATCAACAAGCTTTACTGAAGTGTCGATGCCAGCCCTATTTTTGCACCCAAGAATCGAGAGCTTTGTCAGTTAAAAGCCGATTTTTTTTTTACATACAAATGTCAAGTTTTTTTCTTTGTTTAGGGCGACAGTGATTGGCTGTTGTCGTCTAGGTACCAGATAGGCTTATTCATATTTCATTAATATACTTTCAATTCCTTTAGTCCATCTTTCTCCATATTCAAAACATATCTGCCGCTGAATTCAAAACAAGGCCGACTTTCAAAATTCAATTTAAATTTATTAGGAACGGGAGTACTGTTTTGCGTGGTATTTAAAGAAGGCGAATGGCCGACTGTGAAAAAAATCAGGTAGTAAAATTAGCGCTGGGCAAACTACTGTGGGCAAAATGCAGAGGCGTGAAAGCTGAATTTTGGAAACGCACAAAGCACAACTTGATTTCCGCACACTACCCGCTGAGCGCATAAATTCCTTTCTTAGAGGCTACACTCGTGGATGGGATGATATGAACGGCAATGGAAGAACGTGTTATCATAAACGTTAGTGGAATGACTTTTGAAACGAAGGAGACAACGCTTAGCCGTTTTCCTGATACCCTACTCGGAAATCCTTCGAGAAGGCAGCGTTATTTCAACCCAGTCGTACAGGAATACTTCTTTAACAGGCATCGAGTGGTATTTGAATCAATTCTTTTTTACTACCAATCCGGTGGAAGACTTATTTGGCCAGTAGATGTCCCAGCAAGCGTTTTTACTGAAGAGGTGGAATTTTTCCAGCTGGGAGAACAAGCTTTGAAAAGTGTGGCGAAATGTTTTTATACAGAAAGACAGCGCGTTTCGCCCCAGTTTTCCTTTCAAAGGCGAGTGTGGAACTTATTCGAACACCCTGATACGTCGCATTTTGCGAGAGTAATTGCAATGCTTTCTATCCTTATGATCGCTATCTCGGTAGCAGTGTCCATCATCGAGACAATGCCTTACTTTAGAAACTTAGGAGAAAAAGAATGCAGTTCCAGCGCGCGTTTGAGATGTAACAGCAGCGCACTAACTAATAAAGACCATATAAACGTAACGATGGTGCACGATTGTAACTCAACAACCGCGGAGGATGGAAATTGCACCCATAGCACTTTAGAAGTGTTTATAGTCTTAGAAATTATTTGTTATTCGTGGTTTTTATTCGAGTACCTCGTGCGTTTCGCAACGGCGCCGAATCGCTTGCAATTTCTTCTGTCGGCGATGAATTTTGTAGATCTCTTAGCGATCATTCCGTTTTTTACAATTCTGATCAACGGGAACCGTCGTTTGGTGTCGTTGGCCGTTCTTCGTACCACAAGACTGCTGCGAATATTTCGCATTCTGAAGCTCACTCGCTATTCCCGCGGGCTCAAAGTTATGATGTTTACTTTACGAGCCAGCCTTAGTGAACTCGAAATGATGTTGTTGTTTATGTTTATGATAATTATTTTATCCTCAAGCGCGGTATTTTACTCGGATCTAGGAGCAGAAGGAAGTTTCTTTACTAGTATTCCCGACGCATTTTGGTGGAGCGTTACGACTGTTACCACGGTTGGTTATGGAGACTACTACCCTATATCTGGTTTCGGAAAAGTTGTCGGTGGCATCTGTGCAGTTTTTGGTGTGCTCGCCTTTTCTCTTCCTGTTATGGCCTTTGCAAAAAACTTCAACGCCTATCTCAAAGGAGAGCCGATTCGAAGACATATTGAAAACAAATGCAGAAGTAGAAGACACTGAGAACAGCATTGCTACTTCGCAAAATAGCTAAAACACGCAAATCCTCTGGTTCGAAAAAATAACACATCTTTCATAACTCAGTTGTTTTAAAGATAAACCAGACTACACTGAGACAACTGTTAAAATTACTTTCTCGCTCAAGACCAATATCGGACATGAAAGTTTGCTTTCAAAGTTGCCCGTGGCCTTGACGAAAAGAACTCAATCTAGCATAATAATAAGATTATAGCGACTCGGCGAAGACACTAGGAGCTTTTTAATGTACGTAAACATAGTTAGTTTACTTCTTCTTGGAGTTTAAAATATTGACTGAGCAAAGTCTCCCTACAGAGGAGACAAACAATCTAACTTTGTCAAGTTTTTTATTTCATGAGAGATGACACTAAATAGCCAGAGCTAATAAACTTGTGACCCTCTTTCGGAAAAGTTTCGAAGAAGACTCTGTTATTCACTGCGACCGTTTTTGTCTCTTCAAGGCAAAAACAAAATAACAGATTGATTTATTAGACTGGCAGCTGATTTCGATCAAAAAGAGAACAATTTTTCTATTGTGAGCAAAATTAGCACTCTAGAACAGCGTGTATAATAAAACGTTGAATATCGCGATCACATCACGGTATTCCCGTTTAATGGCCGGGAAGTTTAGGATGCTAATAAACTGAACTAATTTGCATTCATATGAGGCGTACAATTTAATATTAACCACAACATGTTATCCAATGGACGTGAACGTGAAAAACTGAAATTTCGGATGCTAATCGGAATTCAAAGCCTAAATTCAATTCACTTCTAAAACTGAAGGAACCTTATCAAGTGGTGTCGGGTGGCAATAACGAAAAAAGAGATAGTCAACGTTAAAGGTCTTTAAATTATAAAGTCGTCGTGAAAGCATGAATATTAAGTTGATCGGCTTCACGAAATGCCGATATGATATGCGCTCAAATCCTCTCAGGGCTTAGTATTAAATTCTTTTACCCCTTAAAGAATGTTTAATGGCTATTTTAGCAACTATTTCAAGGCTTATTTTCCCTCTGAATCAAGCTGCTCCCTTCTTATATTAATTACAATTAAGGACATATAAAAAATTTATCCAGGAAGAAATTTATTTTTGCTCCAGAAGTTCATAATGCTCATCATTATATCGGCCACACAGTTTATGCTATCGCACAGTTGGCCATGTGTTGTCGACTTTTAACGTAATAATTTATGGAGCTAATTTTGACAACGCGGTATTGATAAAGGTGATCAAAGATATCGATGATTTCTTCGATTGATGAATTCTGGATATTCCTTACGTACAGAACGTATTTATTATTTGGCACTAAGAGGGAATAATTCTCTCTTGTTGGAAATCATCAGCCTTTTCTATTTGCCTCCTTTTAAATTTACCACCCTAACTTGGTACTTGTCGGTGGGTCTTTAATTTCGCAGTTTTAGCGATTGTTACAAAAATCGCTTCGCGATCTGATTTGAACAAGCGAAATTTAATACGCATACAGAAAATTCAAATCACAGAAAGAAGATGATTAACATTAAGTGGCTGCACTTTTCAAAACTGGAGATAGGAGAGATGCGTCAAATTATCGCCCAATTTCTATTCTGCCAACAATGAGTTAAATTCTGGAAAAAGTCGTCCATTCCCAATTCTATGACTTTCTGAATTCAAATAATCTCCTTTCAAGCAAACAATTTGGCTTCCGTCCCAAACTGTCTACAACATCGGCTCTCACCAGTTTTGCAGATGAGGTCCTATTGCATATGGAGAGTGGAGAACTGTGCGGTGCAGTGTTCCTAGATCTGACCAAGGCATTCGATACCGTTGACCATACGATCTTGCTATCTAAATTGTCGGCTATCAATGTCTCGCCCAGCACTCTACAGTGGTTCAAGTCTTACCTGAATCATCGTAAACAGCGGACTGCCTGTAGCGATGCTGTGTCTGACCCTCTCCCGATGACCTTTGGGGTACCACAGGGGAGCATTCTAGGACCGCTTCTCTTCTTGGTTTATATTAATGACCTTCCGCTGGTTATAAAGAATTGCGAAGTGACTTTGTATGCTGATGACACGGTCCTGTACTACTTTGCTAAAGAGCCACACCTGTTAGAAGAGGCACTAAATGATGATCTCTTGAAAGTTGCCCAGTGGTTACATGGAAATAAGTTAACTTTAAATCTTACTAAGACGAAATCCATGATTATAGGCAGTAATAGGAAACTTGTTGGTATTTCCTCTTTCACGTTATCTATTTTTGACACTGATATAAATTCTGTAAGTAGTTTTAAATATTTGGGAGTTATGTTGTCTTCAACTTTCACATGGTCCGACCATATTGAGTATATTTCATGTAAGGTTAATAAAAACCTTGGTCTTCTACGTAGGATTAAGTATTATTTACCTTATGATGCCCGGTTACTTTTTTATAATAGCTTAGTGCTACCTATTTTTGATTATGCTGATTTAGTCTGGGGTGACAAGGACAATGTCTCACTTATGAAGGAATTGCAAATTCTCCAAAACAAAGCAGCTAAGTTGATATTAGATAGATCACCTCACTCCTCATCCACCGATGCATTGATTGTCTTGAGATGGCTGAATCTTGAAGAACGTAGGAAATGTCATCGATGTATATATGCATACAAGTGTATTAATGGCCAACTTAATCATTCTTTGGACATTGTAAGAAAGAGTGATATACATTCCTACAATACGCGCAATAACGATACTATCAAGCTCCCCAAAATTAAATATAATTGGGGAAAACAACGTTCGCGGTACCACTGTTTCAAAGACTTTAATGAATTAGAGAGAACTGTAAGAAACTCAGCAAGTTTTCCAATTTTTAAGAAGTGTCTTTTTTCTGCTTTTTATAATTGAGTACTTGTAGTGTGTATGTTTTGATTATTTCTGTAACTGGATTTTAGCTTGAATTTTTTTTTTTTTTTTTTTTTTTTTTTATTTTTTTTTCATATATATCGATTTTAGCTTAACCTTTTTATATTTTAATTGTATTATATAATATACATCTCGTAATTAGGACCTCTATGTAAACCACTCTTGTGATGGAGCATCCTATTAAAAGATTGTTATTATTATGTGCAAAAACAACAACATATGCTGCATATATCGACAAATACGCAAATTATTGACTGGTTTCAATGGTTAGGGTCATTCAATGGAAAGTTTAGTTCTCGATGGTGAAAAAGGTTAATTGCAAATTAAAGATTTGGGTGATTTCACATGTGAAGTAGAGAGTCTACCTAGATCTTCATTCGCGTTTTCCAGTTTGTCCAGAAATTTTAAGCGTTCAGACTTTTTTTAAAAAAATAAAACCAAGTGAGAACGCATGAATCTCGAAAGTTATTGGTCTTTTTTCATTGATGTATTGAAAACGCGAAAATAAATCCCGCAAAATATTGTCTCTCCAAAATCGCGAAATTAGCAGCAGGCGGTTTGCTGGGATTTTGGTTGGGGCCGGGCAAAAGCTGAACCGAGATCAAACGCTAAAACGAGGGCAAGGTTTGGAGAGGTAAATAAACTGTAATAACAAAACATCAAAGAACAAAGCGACTTGAGTATTACGGTCAAGCCTTTCTGCCTCCTTCCCATCGTCCCTTTCGTTGAGCTCTCGAAATAGTCTCCCACAACCGTTCAGTTTAAAATGATAAGAGAAGACTCGGGACGTGTCAGCCCCTTTTCCTTTAACCTCGGTCAAGTTTTTTGCGCGCCGGGCTATGTTTGCGCGAATAGCGAAAAAGACCTTTAACCTTCTACCTTGAAAGCTAAATCTGGGTAATGCTTCTGCAATGGATGGTGAAAATTTTCAACCAGTATTACCCAGATCTGGGTAGTGACGCGTCATCAGTCTGGAATTTCTGCGCTTGTCTTCTCAGACGTCGTTTCTCGGGGAAACAAGTGGTGGCGTCGCGAAATGTCGGCTAATTCTCAGGCTTAAAAAAGGCCTTTTCTGAGTTGCCTCAAGCCTGTCTGTTACAAAGCGAGGCTGCCATTGCATATGATTTACATCTAGCCGCGACTTGAAAATGAGGGTTTCTGGTACTCGGGAAAGGCCTATATTACAAAAACTAACCCCGGCGTCGGTCTAAGTAACCGACCCTTTGTTCTGGCTCAAAGCTCTTTAACTAAACTTGTCTATACTGTTGACATTGTGCAAATGCAAGCACTAATGGCTATGTAGAAACTCTAATAACAAAAACACCTGCCTCAGGTAAACGTAAACAAACGAGCTAACTTGAATAGCTCAAACGAGTGCAAAAAAGAAATTTACTACTCAACGTGGAAAGCTTTCTGTGTAAACTTGTACCCTAAACTGTGGTTCGTCACATATTCTCACTTACTGTGGAACGTTGTTAGAGTGTGTCCAAAATAGAATGCAAACCAACTGGTTTGTAGTCCAAGTCTAAAAAGACTTTTGATTTTATCGTGCAGAGCTAAAAGTCATACTTTCAGTTTAAGTGGCAGCACAAAACAGGGAGGGAATTACGATTCTTAGCTCCTGCAAGTCTACTTAGCTTTGAGACCGGATTCTTCTCTGAGACTATAAAAGATTGCCTTTTTATGCTAAAACATGCTGAGAAAATTAACGTCCCTTCACAAGTGACTGTCAGTGAAAACAAGTTGATTGGTTTTGTTTTGGAAAAGCATTTTCACACCCCGTAGCTAACATTAAAAGGTTTTAGATACTTCCTGTTGTGTATGATAATTTCAAATGGCTCTTAAATTAAATGCCATACTTGTGTGCCCTATTCTAAAAACTCTTAACCACTTTGATGGGCTTAATCGGTATCTTTTTCGCCCCTTAAATTGTCTGAAACGCGATCGCACGCGTCAAATTGATTTAATAATTTATAGCAAGTTAAGGCAACTTATTATTTCCCTTTGAAATGAGAATTTTTTACTGGAGAGAAATGTGAAATACATACTCAATTAAGAGTGTTTGTGACAGAGGAAAGAGCATGAATTATAATTAACAACAAAAATGATGCAAAGATAAAAGCGCTTAGGATATTCATAAATAGACCGCAAGCTACGACGACTCGGAACTTCCCAAAGTTGGCTTCCGCGTAGATATAAATGCGCGATACAGGTTATCAAGCCGGAATGAAGAAATTGAGTCCTGAAACGATAGTGACCGCAATTTAAAGTTAACGGCTCTAAAGGGTCCGTCATGGTAAATAGCTGGAATAAGTAAGTAAAGTATGACTTCAAAGGACTTTTCTTCGACAATTCAACGAAAACATTATAACAATCGCGTGAAGATAAACGTGAGTGGTACGGTGTTTGAAACGATGGAAGAAACACTGTCAAGATTTCCTGACACTCTTTTGGGCTGTCCTAGAAGGCGCTTAAAATATTTCGACGAACGACACGACGAGTACTTTTTCAATCGCAACAGACTGGCTTTTGACGCAATTCTCTTCTACTATCAATCGTATGGGAGGTTGGTCAGACCCGATGTAGTGCCAGAAAATGACTTTTTCGACGAAGTGCGCTTTTTTCAAATACAAAGCGACGAAGTTTCAGCTCGTGCAAGGATCGAACGCGCACTTATGGGAAAGGACGAAGACTTACCGCAGAATTTCATACAACGCAAACTTTGGTTGCTTTTTTCTAAACCGGAATCATCGTACGCCGCAAAAGTGCTCGCTGTTATATCTGTAATTATCATACTTCTATCATTCGTTATTCCTTGGTTCGAATCGTCGGAAAGTGACAGCAGCGTCGCAGACAACTCAATGGTCTTGCAAAGGATGGAGATGGCTTGTTATATTTGGTTCACCTTTGAGCTATTGATTCGATTTGTCAGTGCACCAAAAAAACTGCGATTTTTTCTCTCGATGCTCAATATTGTCGACATCGTTAGCATATTTCCGTATTACGTTCTTTTAACAATGCAAGTTGCTCGAGCTCCATTATCTGTTTTGCGAGCCGCCAGGATGCTTCGTATTTTAAGAATATTTAAACTCTCTCGATACTCAAGTGGCATGCGAATTTTACTGTATACATTTGCCACGAGTATGAAAGAACTGGGCATGTTTCTTATCTTCATTTCTATTAGTATGGTGGTTTCGGCCAGTGCGGCGTATTACGCGGAAGTGGGCGACGGAAACGTTGCATTTACTAGCATTCCCGATGCGCTGTGGTGGTCTGTTAATACCATAACTACGGTTGGTTATGGTGATCAGTATCCCTTAACAGCCACCGGCAAAATGGTTGGCTGTTTGTCAACTGTGTTTGGATGTCTAGTGATCGCTCTGCCAGTCTTCCTTTTTGTCGCCAATTTCAGAAAAGTTGTTAGTGTGAACAGGGCTTCTGATGGAAAAAGGATGTGATCACAGGAGTGCGAGTCTGAACTAGCTCTTGCCACAGTTTCAAAAAAGTTGTCAGTGTGAACAGGGCAGCTGATACAAAAAAAACGGATGTAATTACAGGAGAACGAGTCTGATCTTATTCACCATTCCTTTTTTGTCAAAAAAAATTGTTTCTTGGCCGCCTAAAGGCCATTGAACATTTTTCCCTTGGATCGATAACTTAATTACAAACGCCTTGATGGCTCGTGCCGGGAGGTTATATGGGCCTTTAATTGTGCCTATTTTTTCACCGCATAAGAGCATATTACTTCAGTTTTTAAGCGCATTCGGTTTATGTGTTCAGCATCGAGGAAAGGTATTTAAAATCGTTCCACAACAGGGAAAATGAGGTGTGCTGTTTAGTGTTGGCAAGTTTGACGAGGACCTGGCAAGTTTGGCCTGTGAGCCTGAAATGGATTCCCCTTTTCCCTTACACGTAACTTAAAATATCTCTGTTTTCACGGCATCTGGCCAAATCTGGCTTTTAACCTAACTGGTCTGTCATCAACGAAGAGAGAAAAATGTGAAATTCTAAGAGTTGTGCTCCCATCTCTGAAACTAATGCCCCATAAAATAACTGATGATCTTTTCATTGCCTGACTTAATAATGAGGAAGAAACTAAACTATAAAGTAACTAGACTGAGCTCTTTTGGATTCACATACTTGACAATCTATTGAACACTGCTTGCTTTACTTGCCCATACTTACTAATTTTCTAAAGTGCACATTAGTGGAAATCTAATGCAATTGTTTTTGGTAAAAATGTAAGTCTTTGCCTGGTTTGGTTCCAAATGACCAATTGCAGCGTAATGTAAATCAATGGATGTGTTAAAAGAAGAAGAATAAAGTACTGAACTTTCAACTCAGAACGAATCAAAGTAGCCCAACATATACTTCATCTTGTTTACTTTCACGAGGGGCGCCCCCCTACCGTTAAGAGATTTAGACTGCAAGCAAGAATAAAGAGAAAAGTCTCGAACGAGCAGCTTGCGGCCCTCGTGCGCTATCTTTCAGCTCGCTTGACCTGCATGAGACTTTCTTTTCAGTCCATTGACCTACTACTAACTGTATTCAAAATAGAGAGCTTTCTCTATTGAATATAAACATTGGACAGAAGATCAGACTTTAGAGCAGTTGTCCTTTTACTCTTTTCATTCACTAAAATTTCAATTCAACTTCAGACATGTCAGAGCAAACTGGACAAAATTTCTACCGATTTCAAAGAAAAACCATACCTTGAGAGCCCCACGTAATTAAACTCTCGCCTAGTCCCTGTACGGCGTTTTCCCAGTCCCTCTAGGTCAATTCACTTCGGCGTCGTAACACTTTGGCCGCGCGGAAAAATGAGGTCTAGGGACTAGGCAAAGTAAATTCCATGTATTTTGTACTTGTCTACACCCTGCTTCTGCGAGCGTCAAGTCGGAGTCGTTTTGCCGCGATGTTAGGGAGCGACGGCGCCAGCCACGAACGTGTTACTTAAAAAGTGAATTTGCGTTCTTTCAATCTCTATCGCGATTACTCCATTCATTTACTTTGCCAAATGTAAGCGAACTCTTTTGAGGCGAATTCCTAAGAACCATATTTCAGTTCAGAAAGAGAAAGAAAATTCAGCCGTCACTTGTTTATGTCCTTCATAAAACGTGAAATAAGGCATTTTCCGTCTGTCTTAGTCGTGCAGTGACGGCAAAGAAATGTACAAAAAAGTGTGATGCAAGTGTAGAGTTGTTGTTTTACCTACTAAACCTATTGTTGTTTTGACGTTCTCGTTGTCGTCTTTTAGTCCCTGTTTTAATTTTGTCGGCGCCGACTCGGCGCCCCGTCTTTCGTCTGATACCCAGTCTTCGCCCGTTTTGTATAAGGAGGCTTGGATGCTGAGCGGAAATTAGTTCAGTTTTCTTTCTCGTGTGCATCATTTGTGCTTTCAAAGCGTGATCATTATTAGCGTGTTTTTCTGAGCCGAGAAGAAGGCTAGGCAGTTTCTTAAACTCTTAGAGAACCCTTCTTTTGCGAAAGAATGGGAGATAATGTCGTTGATCCGTTTGAGGATATCGATTCCGAGGAGGAACTTGAAAAACCGCCGACACCTGAGATCCATCATGGGGGTGATTCTCCCGAAGCTCCTGCAGCATTTAGCGATATTTCTGACAACGAACGGGAGGAAGTGAGGGAAGACGAAGCCGTGATGAAGCCGCATGAAGAAGCTAGCGAAAAAGCAAGTGAAAATGATGAAAATACTTCTAGCGCACAAGAAGAAAGCAAAATTGAGAGCAGTAAAGTGGAAGTAACACAACAAGAAGGTAGTCCACTTTATGACCAAGAAATTTCTCCTGTTTCGTCAACAGCTGAACAGGAGGAAGAGGACGTAGATGCATTTGAAAAAGGAGATAAGGATGTTCCCATGAACGAAGGAGAACGTTCGGAAATCATCGAAAGAAATTCCACTGATTTAACGCGAAGTAAACAAGAATCTTCATTAGGTAGTGCGGAAGGGAATGATGAAGCTTTACGTGAAACAACTGTTGCGAGCGAAACAACTGAAGAAAAACGCCAAGAACAAACTTCTGGATACACAGCTGAGAGACGCCGTAGGATTTCTTCAAGTGCAGGGACCGATGATGATTTAGATATGCCTATTTCTCCTCTTGGACTCGGACTTTCAGGGACAGAATCAGAAATTGTTGATGATATTCTTAAGAGTGACGTTTCTAAACTTCTTCCAGACGTTAAAGAAGATCCCAGAGAAGAGTCAACAGGTATAATGTGTGATTATTAGCCCACCATCTCTCACAATTTAGAAGCCATAGTGGCACTCTGGTTGCTCAACTGAGGGAGGCAAATAACTTTTTTGTCTATGGTGACTGTGGTTGACGAGAGGGACACGAAAGTTTGGCCAATTCAAGTGATTTCAAAAAATGTGTGCTTTTAAGCCATTAAGTCCCAATATCAACATGCATATTCCCAACACTGTTCTTCACACATTTCTTATGGTTCTGCTTGAGAGAATATTGATAGAAGGCTTAAGATTCGAGGACAAATTTTCTCGCATATCCTCTAAATATAGACACCCCAGAAAGCTTCATTGTATTTTTTTCACCACAAGAGTTAGAACGCTTATTTCCATTGAAGGAGGTGAAGCCCACTCCTGGTCGCTAAATGATAAAATTCTTAACATTTGATAACTTGCTTTCACCACTACTACATTCTTGCTAAAACTCATAGTAGAATGACGATTGCTATCGCATAATTTCCCACCAAACTGACATTGGTTTGAGTGAGTGCACTACTTAGTATGGGAAAATCTCATTCCCATAGTTGTCCTTGTCATAGAATCTAAAGCTCTCTATTATTGCTTAAACATTAAGATACTTCATCATTGGTGATCATTTCACTCATTTTAATGACCTGTATGTTTGATCAGCCAGTATTATTGTTTGAGGAGAAATAATAATAAATGCTGGTTACTACGGGGACGTAAAGGATTGCAGACTTGCGAAGTCTCATGATTTCTGACAGGGGTTTCGTTAAGAACGTTATTGCAGCAGCAGGAGAATAGTGTAATAATGTGCCCTTTTAGAAGTCATCGTTAAAATAGAAAGATCTCAAAATTTGCATTTGCTTCGTAGTAATTTGATACTCTGTCATTTATATACGGTAAACATTGCCAAATTTTTGTTGCAAGAAGGGTTTTGCAGCTTTGTTGGAAAACACCTTTCGTGAACTGCATATTCTTCATACAAGAATAATTCATAATTCTTCATACAAAAGCCAAATTCAGTGATAATTATTGTGTTCTTCATTCAACCAAAATATCACTTTCTAGGTAAAAGAGATGACGAAGAAGAAACCAAAGAAGACAAAGAATTGACTGAGGCTGAACCAACAGTACAGGATGAAGAAGGGTAGGCATTATCAGTCATCACCATTGTCATAAAATATCATGTTTTGGCCATCACAGAAAATAGTAGGAAATGCTTAAAATCTGAATCTACAATATCCAGGGTGCCCAATGGACAAAAGTAAGTTGCTAGGAGCCATTGGGCACGTTAAGAGCACAGCCTTGAAGTCCACATGTCTACCAGGTCTTGACAAGGAAAATGTAATACTATGATCACACCTTACAGTGTAATTAATTAATCATTAATTGTCATTTAGGTTTGAGTCCGATGAAGAAGCTGGTGATCAACTGATTGCTGATATTTTTGGTGCCAGTGATGAGGAGGAAGAGTTTGTGGTAAGATAATATACTGTTTTATCAGCTGCTCTTTCCACCATTAATCAAAGTTATTGCCCAAAATGTTTTTTAATAGACCATGCAAGTTTATTTGTAGATGTGAGGAGCTTTTTCCAAAACATTGTCAGGAGCAATTCAATACATCATCTCTTGTTGAGACTATTACTGTTGGGTGACCATGGCCAGTTCCTAGAGAGATGTTTGGTGTAAATACTGTATATATGTAAAAGACATAAACATGACAGAAGAGCTGCAGGGACAAGCTTTATCATTAGGTACATGACATCTGTTAAAGGGAGGTGTCCTTAAGGTTTTGAAAACAACTGGCAGCTGACAGATATCACCATCTACATGTGTGTTGTGTCTTTTGTCAGCCACCCAGCTGCTGGGCTACTCCTGAGATTCTAAAAGTAAAAGATGGCAAAATCAGTCACTCACTTCAACAATAACACTGCAAACTTCAAAACTGTTTTGTCAATGCTGTGTTCAATCACATCTTATAAAGGCCTGTGTTCTTTCCCAAATTGACTACCATTATTTTTCTCCTAACAACATGAATACATCTTCAAGAGAAAAGTATATGAGAAATGATGACAAAAGAGAAAATTTGTTGATCTTTTATTACATTGTAAATTCTCTCAGTTTATTTTATTAATGAAATGTACAGTAATTTTGTTATAAATAGTTATGGTTCAAGTCCTGGGATTCATCTTGTGAAAAATCATGAGTCCCAGTTAAAAAAACAAGGAGCCATGCTTGGGCCTTTATGTAACCAGACAGTTAATACTGGAGGCAGATGCCAAAACACTATATTTCAGTCTACTGAAATT